TGTCCTACTCTTTGTGACCCCATGGACTGCAGCACGCCAGTCTACCCTGTCCTTCACCATCTCCCAGAGTTTTCTCAAACTCGTGTCCATTGAGTCAGTGATGCCATCCAACCATCTCATCCTCTGCTGTCCCTTTCTCCTCCTGCCTTCAGTCTTTCCCAGCATCAGGGTCTTTTCTAATGAGTCAATTCTTTGCATCAGGTAGCCAGAGTATTGCAGTTTCAGCTTCAGCATCAGTCCTTCCAAAGGACACCCAGGACTGATCTCCTTTAGGAAAGACTGGTTGGATCTCCTAGCAGTCCAAGGGACTCTCAAGAGTCTTCTCCAACACCACAGTTCAAAAGCATCAATTCTACGATCCTCAGCTTTCTTTATGGTCCAACTCTCACATCCATACATAACTACTGGAAAAACCATAGCTTTGACTAGATGACCTTTGTTGGCAAAGTGGTATCTTTGCTTTTTAATGTGCTGTCTAGGTTGGTCATAGCTTCTCTTCCAAGGACTAAGTGTCTTTTAATTTTGTGCCTGCAATCACCATCCACAGTGACTTTGGAGCCCAATAAAATAAAGTCTGTCACTGTTTCCATTTTTTCCCTATCTATTTGCCATGAAGTGATGCCATGAAGTAAGATGCCATGATCTTACCTGATTTGTGTATGTGTATATGTGTGTGTATATACATAGTTGTGTGATGTATGTGTACATATATTTTTGTGTCACAAGGCAGCACATTCTTTCAGTGGCACTTAGTTCAACTGTTTCAAGTTTTTGTCTGAAAAATTATTTTCTTAACTTTCACCTTTTTCCAGAGTATTTTTTTATATTTTAAAATGTATTATTCATTCTTTGAAAGAAAGTGCTCTTTGTGATCATCAGGCCAATGTTCCTAAATCCTTTGACTCCTTGTTTGGGTTTTCTCTGGCCATCAGTAACGTGTGGAAAACCTGGAAACTACAGAAAAGAGTGAAAAAGGAAGAAAAAGGCACCGGTAGTCTCACTGCCCACAGATGCTCCATCGACTCTCCTTACATCATCCTGTCATTTCCCTTTCACCACTGAGGTCTGAAACCGGATTCTAGGAGATCCTGGGGTTCTGCCCTTGCGTGTAGGTGTGTGTGTGTGTGCGTGTCCTCCAAACAGGGAGCCTCCGTTTTCACCCTCCCATCAGACCCAGCTGTGGAGCAGACCCCCCACACAGGGTGTGCCTCCCCTGAATCCTCCTCAGACGTCTCCACAAAGACTGACTAGCTCATAGATGACGCGTCTCCACAGCACACCCGGTTCCTGGCTGTGCTACACGGGCACAGGCTTTAGATGGGGTGGTGCTGGCCCGAGGAAACAGACCGATGGCAGAGAACACAGACCTGGGGAAAAGGCTGGTTGGTCTTTTGACAAAGTGAACATGGCATCCGAATGAGGGAAGACACAGAGGTCTTTTCATTATGTGGCTCAACAGGACACTCAGATGGGAAAGTGAGTCTGGACCTGCCCCACAATGTAGACATAACCAACGCAGGATGACGACAGGCTAAATGGGAAAGGTGGAACATAAATCTGTGAAAATACAACTTCCCCTTTCCATCAACCCACCTGCATGAGCCTGGGTCAGGTAAAGACTTTGCAAGCTCACAAAAAAACCAATAACAAAGGAAAAAGTAGATATATGTTGTTTCAGTACTTTAATTCTTCAAAACCTATGTTTAAGAGCTTGATAAAGGCAAACTTAGAAAGGGTAAAGATATTTGAAGGACTGTATTAAGGATTGATTAAGGAGTTCCATTGAGAAGAATGCAGAATATCAAATAATACCACTATACCTCACACCAGGACATATAACTTCATAAAATAAAAAGACTAGCTACCTGCATCAACAGAGATGCTAGACCAGTGGAACTCTAGTGCATTGCTGGTAAAGGTGGTAAGTTGACATAGTCTCTTTGGAAAAGCATTTGGTTGTGTGTCCTAAAGTTGAAAATATCTTAAGAGCCAGTAGTAGTTACTCCCTAGAAACATATCTACAGGCTGGCATAAGGATGTTCATCTAAGGACATGCTCAAAGCTGCAGTTTGTAAAAGCCAAGAATGCAGGATGACCCCAGTGGCTATCAGTAAGGAATGGATACATCAATCCATTGAGAATATATAGAAATGCAAACAAACCCTACAGCTGTGTGGCTTAACATGAGTTGGTTTCAAAAGCATAATACTGAAGTCAGAAGTAAGAGACCACATGGGTTTTTAATGAAGAAGCAGAAGGAGACTGATATTTTCATGAAATTGGGTTAAGCACAGGCAGCTGGAGTTTTCCCCAGAGTTCAGAGCGGACTGGTGGCTGGGGAAGGCGCCAGTGAGAAAAGAAAACAGTGACCGAGGGTGGGGGCTGGGGGAGAGCTCATGAGAACATGGCTCAGGTTTCTGACTTGGGGGCCTGACTGCTCCTCAACACACCACCAGGAGAACAGGCAGTCATGCTGGGCATGCAGAAGTTTCTGCGCTGATTCTCCTACGAGACTCCCAGGTCTGCTGCAGGGCTGTGGCCCCCTTGCTTCCGGGCCAAGTGCATTGTCTATGACATCTTGGTTGGCAGGACAGGGCAGAGGGATCCTTACCTGGGGACAGTTTGCCTTGTTTTGTGAGCAAAAACCTGCATGGAGAGAAGCTTATCAAGAGGGGGTCCAGTAACCACAGTTTGCAGGGACTGGTCTTCTGCTGTCATCTTGGTTTGCATAACTCAGATATCACCACCTGAATAAACATAGTAGGCTTTAGGCTTTCTGTACACTCTCTTCCTTGAAGTGTCTTTGAAAATATCAAATAAAATCACATCTGCAGAAATTTCTGGAAAGCTCCACCCTTCCCCTCTCTTCCTCTAGTAAACAAAGGGCAAGGTAGACTTTGGATAAATATTTATTCTAGTTCTCACTTTTTTCTTTTTTATTCTGAGTTTCTTCCTATATGCTTTATTGCCTCAGTTTCTTTGTGGGTTTTTTATTATTGTTTGTTTATTTGTTGCTTTTGCTGTCACAACACTTTTTTTGGCATGTTACTTTTCAGAGCACACATACACTCACACAAACACTCATATACAGACACACTCCATGTCACCAGCACTTGCTTTTAGTTGGACATTAATCTCAAAAGAAAAAGAAAAAAAAAACTGTGGAAGGACATAATGTTTACAATAAAAAGTTTAGAGCCTAGCAGAAAGATAGAGAGGCAAGCAAACAATTAAACTAGGATCAGATAATTACAAAGCAAACCAAATACCATTTTCATAAAGAAAGAGGTTATCATGTGGAATTTGGAAACCACTGCTATGGATGATATTAATGGAAGAAAGCTTCTGTTCCATTGTGTACGCCAACACTGAATCCTTCTTGGCAGAAATAGAGTTTATAAAAGATTGTTCAGTAATTAAAAACAATCACATTAATTCTAGAAACGCCGTCTTGGTGAAATGAAGTGGATTTTATTTGAAATGTGCAGTAGGATTGAAATTAAGTTTTGGATTTGTAAGGTTAAAGACATTAAAGTCTTTTCAGAAATGGCAATCATGCCTGGAATTCTAAAGGAAATCTGGTTAGGAAAAAAAGTATTTGTATCACTAGGTAAAACACATGAATATGCATGCAAATTTTAGATCATTGTTTTATCTAAAGAATACCTAAGAGAATTAGATCTAAGGATTACTTTTCTCTGAATTAATTGTTCTGGCTGTGCTGGGTCTTTGTTCCTGTGCATGGGCCTTTCTAGTTGTAGCGAGAGGGGCTGCTTTTAGTTGCAATGTGTGGGCTTCTCACGTGGTGGCTTCCGTTGCAGCGCACAGGCTCTCGGGCGTACGGGCTGCAGTGGCGTGGCCCTGGGCTCCAGAGCACAGGCTTCAGTGGTTGCGGCCCACGGGCTTAGTTGCTCCTGGCATGTGGGACCTTCCCGGACCAGGGATCGAACCCGTGCCCTGCACTCACAGGCGGATTCTCATCCACTGCACCACAGGGCAAGTCCAGAGGACTACTTTCAAATTAGGAAATCCCTTTCATATTTCAACCCTTGCTGATATTACTATTAATTATCCAAAAAGGCCTAATTTTTCTGTTTATTTGCACTTAGTAAAGTTATTAAAGGAAGATTAAATGGGATATTTGTTACATTTTGGATATGTCTGATTCAATTATAGTGAACTTGTATAGAATTTATAAGTACAAGACATTTATTAATAGCATTCTGGGGGGAAAAAAGGTCTGTGGTATCTCTAGCTACTTCTTATAGGCTCAATAAATTAATCAATCAGGTAAGCTTTGTGGATAGCTGTCTGTGATGGTTACTAGCTGATGTAACTTCATATTTAGAGAAGTAGAGTTCTAGTTCCTAATGTTGTAAAATTAATGTTAAATATTATTGTACTCTTCAGAAAATGTACATACTTACATGTACCAAATTTTACATATATTGTCAGCATATCCATAAATCCCTTGACTCCACTCCCGTAATAATGTGCTAGGACTACTGCTATTACTACTGTTATTAAAGGTATCTCTACTGCTCTTTTTAAGTCTCTATTGTAATTCTAGTTTGTTTCCTAAAGGCATGAATAGATTCTCTCCTTTAAAACTCGTTAAACACTTTTCTTCACAGTATTAATGCATGTGCGTTGGATTTTGTGTGCTAATAAATCCAGTAATATGCAGAGTATATTACGTGGGGAAGAAGGGAATGAGGCCATCCGACTTTCTGAATTTGCTGGAAGCTGGTTTTTCAACTAGTCAGTTACTCTTTCAAGTTTCTCAGAGGTTGGGGACAAATTAGAAGTTAGAGGTTCTGTTCGTGCCTCCATTTACCTGATGATCCTTTTCGTGGAACTTCAAGACTGTGCAAGAGATTCATCCCTTCACGCGTCATCTCACTGCAGGATTTCCAGTGCACTCACCATGAGGCTGTGGGCTGCATTGGACATCCGAGATCACTTCTGTGTGGCTCTGTGGGTGGTAGGGAAAGCCTAGAATGCCAGGTGAGGGCATCTTTCTGCGTGGCAGGGCCCTCACCATGGAGAGCAGACCTGGTCTGACCCTTCAGAACAAAGTGATGACCTGAAGCGTGTTTCTTTCCAGCGGTCACCTGCCCGGGCATCGAAGCCCAGCTCTCGGAACACGTCACCTGGAGGCTGGTGTCGGGGTCTCTGAATGAGTACGGAGCGCAGGTGGTGCTGAGCTGCAGCCCCGGGTACTACCTGGAGGGCCGGCGGCTGCTGCAGTGCCACGCCAATGGCACGTGGAGCGTGGGGGAGCAGAGGCCGCGGTGCAGAGGTGAGTGACAGGCGTGTCCCCGCCCCCGAGGCCCGCCCGCATCCCTGATGGCGGCAGCATCTGCCTTTCGAGGGCCTGTCCTCTGTCCTCTGCATTAGCGGTGTAACCAAATGGCATTTCTTTTCATTACAATGAGCAATGTATATTTTTCTCCAACATACTTAACTATATGACTGCTGACTTAAGTGTTAAATGTTGGCTTTTCCTTGTGAACAATCATATTTTACAGACATTGAAATATTATTATAGAATACCCAGATACTTCAAATCAGCTCAAAAACAAATCCACGTCTGTGTTTGTAAAGATCAGTCTTACTCCATGCACTGACTATTCAAACCTTCTAATTAGGATCTTGGGAGCTCATGCATTTATGCTAAGGATGTTGTGTTCTCAAATAATAACTGTCTTGAAAAGGGAGATTATGATTCTCGTAGGTACAAGATAAGCAGTTAAGCTTCTGAGTAGGTTTCATAATAAATATGAATAAATAGAAAAATAAAACAATATTAGTATTGTTCAGAGCTCTATTTGATTCAGATATATTTAATATACAATCTGTAGTGGGATTGTTCACAGGAAATTATCATGCACAAAAACAAGCAGTTAGAGCAGTGTAAGATTTATAAAATACCCAGCTTAGCAAGAATAGAGCAGAATAGAAATGGGGAAAGGACAAAAGAAACAACACTTCACTGTCTGTGATAGTCACTCTGATTCAGTCTATGAATCTGAATGGGACAAATGGTGATGACGCGCCCAATGATGCTCTTCACCAGGATCACGGACGTGGATCACGAAGGGCCCAGACCTCTGGGAGCTCAGAGTGAGAGTGGACAGGACCCCTCCCGAAGCTTATTTATTCATGGGTCCCTCACCATTCCCTAGGGTGTCCTAGTTTGACTCATTGCCCGGTCACTGAAGGTGCTGAACTTCTCCATGTTAGACACCTGAATTAGTGAGCACCCCCCTTCCTGCGACCTCCCACCAGCAATCTCAGGCTGTGATTCTGAGACTTGGGCATTAAACTCAGAAGGCGAGTGGAGGAGGAGTCGGGGCCTCTACCTTCTGCTATTTCAGACTTTCCCAGCCAACATCCTCTGTCAGTTTCACACAGGACACGGGGACTTGCACACAGGCGCTGGCTCACCTCCCGTGGGTGAAGAGCTCTTGGAGAGCTCCTGCAGATAACCAGTCTCATCAGTTTCCTATCCTCCCTGTTTGTCCTGTGACCCCAAGTGGGGGGTTTGCTGGACTGGGGGGTGCCTTCTGCACCCCAGCCTTGTATACTTAGGGCTCAGATTGCCATTGTGGGATGCTGGACACTTACAGGGAGAGCCTTCCATTTATTTATTTATTTATTTTTAATTTAATTTTTTGACCCTGCTGCATGGCATGTGGAGCCTAGTTCCTTGACCAAGGATTTAACCCAGAGCCCCTCCAGTGGAAGCACGGAGTCTTAATCACTGGACCACCAGGGAGGTCCCTAGTCTTCTATTAATATTCAAAAGAGTGTTCACAAAAGCACTGGTGGTTTTGCCCTTTTTCTCTTTTTTATTTTTTTAAATTATGGAAGTATGATAACATTTACAGGAGACTTGGAAAATGCATAACAGGGTTACATATAGTTCTCCTATATATTATAATTATTTTTAAGTAGATAAATTAAGATTTTTAGTTGGAGTTTCAATATAAAACTCTTAAAAATTAATAGAACGAATATACAGAGAAGTAGAAGAATATAGTAGACCTGAAAAGCACTATGAACCAATTCAACATAATTAAGATTTAAACAATTTTCACACAACAGTAGGATACAAATTCTATTCAAGTTCCCATAGGCTGTAAACTAGGAGACACTGGAACACAAGGGACATAAAACAAGGTGCAAAAATTTCATGGTCTAAAGGTATTGAAATCAAATAGGGTCTGTTCTCTTATCACTGTGGAATTGTGTTAGAAATCACTATCAAAAGATATTTGAAAATAGCTCTCACATTTGCAAGTGCAATGTGACATTTACTAAGAGAGATCTTCAACTTAGCCATCAAAAGCCTCAATAAAGTTAGACTAAAAAAAAATACAGAGGGTGATTGCAGAGGAGAAAGCATTTAAATGAGAAATTAGTATCAAAATGATAAATTAATATCAGCATTACCTTATTAAGTCCCATGTAGTTGCAAATTAAATATCCACTTTTTAAATTTTTTATTGAAAGATAATTGCTTTACAGAATTCTATTGTTTTCTGTCAAACCTCAGCATGAATCGCCATAGGTGTACATATACCCCCTCCGTTTTGAACCTCCCCCCTGTCTCCCTCCCATCCCACCCCTCTAGGTTGACACAGAGCCCCAGTTTGAGTTTCCTGAGCCACACAGCAAATTCCTGTTGGCTCTCTGTTTTACACATGGTAATGTAAGTTTCCCTGTTACTCTTTCCACACATCTCACCCTCTTCTCCCCCTCCCCATGTCCATAAGTCTGTTCTCTATGTCTGTTTCTCCACTGCTGCCCTAAGTAAATTCTTCAGTACCATTTTTCTAGATTCCATATAATGGATAAATGTCCACTATTAAATGATGAATGTACCTAAGAAGCCATAACAAGGAAAATTAGAAAATATTTGCAATAGAATAAAAATGAAAAGAGAATTTGCCAGAATCTGTCGCATGCAGCTGAGGCTGCTCAGTGCAATCAAATACAATGTGGAGTCTTGAATAAGATATGAAAACAAATAATGGACACTAGAGTAAAGTTTTGTGAAATTGAAACAAAATCTCTCCTTCAATTAATATCACATGTTAATTTCTTTCTTTTCTTTCCTGTTTTAAAAATAACATTGTATTTCTTTATAGTCTCAGAATTGGATTAGAAATTTTAAGCCTTGTTGAAATCTTTTTTTTAAAATCACTAAGATAATAAATTTCTAGAATTTTAGTAGTCATACTAGATGCCAAAGTACATGGAACTATATCAAAGTTTTGAATGAATATAGATTAAAAATCAAGCATTGTGTTCATACTAAGTGGAATTAAATGTCATTTTTTTTTAGCTGGGCAATAATTCTTAAATTTTCTAAAATATATATATATATATATATATATATATATATATATATATATAGTATGTATACAAAAGCTTTTCCACTACACTTGATAAAGGTTTGAGAAAGAACAAAAGAGATGGAGAAATCAGAGAACATAAACTAAATGAAGTGGTGGCACTGAATATCAAATAGAAAAAGTGAAACAAACTAGATAAAAGTAAAAGATCATCATATAGTTCAATTGTTTTTAAAAATGACTGCTCTTTAGAAACACATCTAGGACTCCAGAAAAAAAATTTTAAAAAGCAATACCTGGGCATTTGTATTTTTCAGAAAATTCCAAGATCATTCTGATATACATCTGGATTTTAAAAAGTGATTATAGATTTTTCTATTAAATGGTGGTTCTAATGATATAGAATTCTATTGACCAATCATAATACAATGGTGTTCAGTCAGTGATATTTACAGACTCACAATAGTAAAAGATGAAAAACACACTGATTCTTAAACTGAACCATTGGCAGCCCAGTTCTACCCTCATTTGTGAAAAGAAGGCAGAACTTGGCTTTGGCCATCCATGAATTGTATCTCTGCCTCCCTCTTTCTGATTTCTCAGAAGCCTGTTTTCCCGACTTCCAATTGATGTCCTTTAATCCACTGGGTCTCATGCTGAGTCTGGTCCGTGGACAGCCACCACCAGGCCCTAGGCCTGAAGACGTCCCCAGGCATCTGGGCCACAGACATTCTCTGCAGATGGTTGGGCGTTCACTGACTGCGTTGAGCAGGAGCTATTGTCTCACTTTGTTATTTGTCTCCTTCGAACTTCCTTGAGGATATGCAGCCTTTTCTAAAAGCATTGGCTTCCACAGAAGTCTTTGCTTGCCTTTTGGTTTTGTGTCTTCGTTAGTATCTGTTGTTTGGTTGGTCACCCTGTGGCCAGGGGGCGTGCCTTTACACTTGAACCTCTGACATCTTTGAATCAACCGCATTTCGTCATAAAGACAGGGTGTTTTATGCTCCTCCTGAGTTTTCCTCACCCAAACATGGAATCTGCTCTTCTCCAAGGAGCCCTGCTACCTATTGCTGGAAATGGTATAAGAGACCAAGCTCTGTGCCCAAGGGTGTGCATTATCTGAGGGTTACTGTATTTATTCTTGAAAGCTTGATAGGAGAAAAGATCAGGGACACAAAGCTTTCCCTTGGAAATTTGATGAAGGATTTCATTTGTTTTTTAGGGTAGAGGAGGAGTCCTCTCTTTCTGTTAGGGGGCTTCCACGTTGGTGCTGCCCACCTCATTAATGTGACGGGTTTTCTGCCTCTCAGATCTCCACATCTGAGACCCCATTATCCAGCTGCTGGAAAGCTAAAGCTTTGTCCCAGTAGTTCTTATTTACAGTCTAGTGAAGCTTAGTAGAGGACAAGCCTAAAATAGTTTAGTCACCAGAATATTTTTAGCAGAGGCTAAAAACATAGAACAGATGTGAAAGCCACGCTCCTTTCTGCTGGTCCACCATTGACTGTGTTAGGACCTCCAAGAGGAGGTGTGCTCAGACCTCCCTTCTTACTAACGCTGAGGTTTCAAAACACAGTCCAGGCATCCCAAGTGCTACAAGGGGATCTTTAAATATCATCGCTCAAGGTTAAGTTCATACCATGTTTGAGAAAAGGCATAATGAGAAGTTTATAATTAATTGTAAAAAAAATCTAAATCTGACTGAAACCCATGGACGTGTGGAAGAGCGAATGCATTAGCAGTATTACTGAATGCATGAGATACAACCCTGTAAGAGTTTAGCAATCCCAGAAACTAAGAAGTCCTCACAGCTCCCTCAACAACAATAACATTCTCATCAGGACATGCTCCAGAGCTGACCTTTCCAGATTTCTGATGAGCAGTGCCCCCAGAGCACACATTTCCAGGCTGTGCATGTCTGTTTGAAACGGAACCAGGGTTTGGGGTCTTGGAGTAAAATCAGCTTAATTCAAAAGATTGGTCTAAATGGTAAAATTGTCTTCACTTGAATTTTCAGTAAAGGCTTTCAGATTTTGGAACCAGTTCCCCAAATAGGCCCCTAGGTGTCCTTCACCCTTGGCGGACACGGGCCCAGCCCCAGCCAGGCGCAGGGTACTGCTTTAGTGCACCCCCACCTGCTGTCCTCTCGCCGAGCTCAGAGCACAGCCCTACCTGGCCGGGGCTGGCGTTAAGCTTCAGAGATGAACCAGGGGGTCTCAGAGACCCAGAGAGGTTGGCGGTGTCACCCAGCTCAGAACTGGCAAAGATGAGTGGACCCCGGGCGGCCTGCAGCCAGCATGTGTGTGCTTGTTCTTTGCCTTTTACTGCCTCTTAACAGTTTACTGTTAACGAGGACTCAGTCATTTCTAGCTACTTGGCGGCTTTGCCCCAAGCCCTTTGCACATAAAAACTCACTTAGTGCAGCAGGAAATTTTTATCACTCCTCTTTGAAGAGCTTTTCACTTTCATTCTCACCTGTTAAATCACATTTAAGCCTCTAACGAGCAGTTCACCTTGATGACTTTATGATTCCCTCCTCCCCTGAGATTCTGCTGATTTTTTTTGTGTGTGTGTGTGTGTGTGCGTGCTCAAACATCAGATTGATGTTGATTTTGTGAGTGGATTTTGCAAGTACAGAGAGTCAGGTGGTATAACAAGTATCTATAATGAAAGTGACCACTGCATTCCTCTCCCCACCTGGACTAATCGTGTGGGTGTAAGTAGTCAGCGATCAATAATTATGCTGGAACATACATGTAAACTGGGTGCCTACATCTATAATCAGTTAAGGTCTAGTTTTTATATTTTTTTAATTTTCAGAAAGTCTGCACATGTTCCATATAGTCAGCATTTTTATGAAGCTCATGGTCCCAACAAATAGTAAATGAAAGAAAAAGTGAACTCAGTCCTTCTACTGTAGTGGGCATCCTGGGGTTTAAGTCCATACATTTTGTACCAGTTGATGACTTTGGGGAAGACTAGCCATGTGTCTCAATTCCTGTTATGCACATGTGCATGTCCAGTAACTGTGATGCGATTCTTGTAATTGATGTAAGCAGAAAAGAGGACAGAAAGCCAACTTGTTGGACTGACTTGCTTGTATGGTAACATATGTGTATACTGTGTATTTGAAGAAAAGTTTAGCTACCTGTGAGGATGAAAAAAATAGCAATGGGTGAAGGAAGGGACTTATTCTATTTTGGGTTCTACTCTAAAGTTTCAAGTTTTCATTCCAAGGATACAAGAGAAGGGAAATTAAACTTCCCAGGTGATGGGTCATCTCACCCTGAGATGACACCCCTGCCGCCCAGATTCTTAATGAGGTGAAGACTTGAGATCTTGTGGTTTTTACACAGAGAGTAGTCTATGTCAGACCTGCAACAATGTTCTCTTTGTTTTTCTTTCCCTTCTAGTGATTTCGTGCGGAAGCCTGTCCTTTCCCCCAAATGGGAACAAGATTGGAACGCTGACGGTCTACGGTGCCACAGCCATATTCACGTGTAACTCAGGCTACACGCTCGTGGGGTCCCACGTCAGAGAATGCTTAGCCAATGGGCTCTGGAGCGGTCCCGAGACTCGCTGTCTGGGTGAGTTAATCTTTCCAAGGGCACTGCTTTACTTCAAACAGACCTCGAAGATGGAGAACAGCAAGACAGAACGTGGTACTTCTCGCCATGAAAGCGCCGATGGAGAGTAACTAAATCCCACCAGGGCCTTTAACACTGCTCTTTAGAGTATCACTTCCTCTTTAAGTATCTAAAGGGATTTTTAAAAATCTGAGCGATAAATGCAGGTCATATATCGCCTTAAATGACTCAAAAATTATTTTGTAGAGTGCTGAAGGTAGCACTGCCCTCGAATGCCCTCATGGTTTTAGAATGCACACACACACGTTGAAAAAAAAATAGAATGCACAAAAAATGAATTTTAAAATTGTCATAGATTTTATCTTCTTAAAAATTTTTAAATTACATTAATAAGTTAATGTACCATTAATGTCCATCAGTGTAAGGACAATGAATTGTTTAAAATAGGGCTTCCCTGGTGGTTCAGACAGTAAAGAATCTGCCTGCAATGCAGGAGACCTTGGTTGGATCTCTGGATCAGGAAGACCCCCCTGGAAAAGGGAGCAGCTACCCACTCCAGTAGTCTTGCCTGGATAATTCCATGGACTGAGGAGCCTGGCAGGCTGTAGTCCATGGGGTTGCAAAGAGTCAGACACAACTGATTGACTTTCACTTTTTCTTTATCTTTTTAAAAAAGTTTTAACTTGCCTTAGTAAGTTAATGTGCCATTAATGTCTGTCAGTGTAAGGACAATGAACTATGTAAAATAGAAAGTATGCATAGTATTAATAATTTGGTCTTCTTTTTCCCAAGGATTAACATTTTCTACATGATAATTTTTTTTAAGTTGGGTTGAGGGGCTTCCCTGGTGATCTAGTGGTTAAGACTTCACCTTTCAGTGCAGGGGTGCTGGTACGATCTCTGATCACATGCCTCGTGGCCAGAAAAACAAAATATAAAACAGAAGCAATATTGTAGCAAATTCAATAAAGACTTTCAAAATGGTCCACAGTAAAAAAAAATGTTTGAAAAGTTGGGTTGAAAGTTTTTCCTTTGAAAAATTAAGTGTATGGAAATTGCTTAGTAAGCAGTTTAAAGTGCAGAGATTTTTAATGCTTCTTCTAGGTCTGCAAGTGATTAGTAAAATATGTTAATTGCCTTTGCATGTGTGCATGCTAAGTCTATTCAGTCCTGTCCAACTCTTGGTGACCCCATGGACTGTAGCCCACCAGGCTCCTCTATCCATGGAATTCTCCAGGGAAGAGTACTGGAGTGGTTGCCATGCCCTCCTCCAGTGGATCTTTCTGACCCAGGGATCAAACCCGCATTTCCTGTGGCCCCTGCATTGCAGGCAGAATCTTTGCCCCTGAGCCACCAGGGGAGCCCCTTTTATAACTGTCTCTGTGATCTTGATAGCTTTGTAACCACTCCAACGCAGCAGAAGTGGGAAGTTTAGGCTTCTGAACCTCTGCGGGTGAGGCTGACTTCAGGAACTCAGCCAGGACCAGTGAATTTAAATAGTAATAATGCTGCCATGGCTGATTCATGTCAATGTATGGCAAAAACCACTACAATATAAAAAAAATTTTTTTTAAATAGTAATAATCTGTTCTTTCCACTGGAGGGAATTTGAAGAAACACTCAGGCATTTGAAGGAAGTGGATGAAAGTAAAGCAGCAGACCAGGAAACAGGTAACCAATGTGAGAAGGAGGTTCTCATGCTTCTCCATGGAGTGACTTTCTTCAGATTAGCACAAGACTTGGATCCATGCTGTTCTAATACAAGGCGTGCGTGTGAGTCCCCTGTTGAGTGTGGTCACTGTCGTTCTCAGCCATCCAGGGCATCTCCCTGGGATTTATGTGGTATTTCCTGGGAGGCAATGCTGCTTCTCAGACGTCCTGTGCTTTCCTGCTGCTATTATGAGATTGGCTGGTGAGTGGTGCTTTCCTTAAGGCTGCTGTGGTTGGGGTAGGTTTTCTCCGTTAGCTGCAGTGAAGCGTGGAATCAGGTGATCTAAGAAATTCTATCTCTGCTCTTAACTGTGAGATGCAGACTAAACTCGAAGGTCACTTGCTTGGTGGGTCACTGCCCACAAAGGCCTTATTGGCCCTTCCAGTGACCCTGGGATGCTAAGGCAGCAGTGGCCACAGGGAGTTTCAGCGGCAACTTCAGTTTTTGTAACTGTTGAATCGTGGAGCCAGCTTGAGTCTTGTTGATTGCAAGCAAACCTTCACCTGTTTCGCGGCATTCTTCTGATGGAAGGTTAGGGCTTTGAAGTGGAAAGAATGAGATGCGTAGTTAGCTGTATGGAGGTGCTCAAAGGTACAGCCTCGGTGGGATGCAGTGTGACTGAGACACTCCTGGAAGAGGGAGTTAAGCTGAAAGACAGAGGAAGGAAAATGTCCAGATTATAGTGTATAAAATGCTAGTGTTGTAGAACCTGGATGCAGGATATGAAGAATAATGCAATTGGAGGAGGCCAGAGTATATTACTCAGCCATTAAAAAGAATTCATTTGAATCAGTTCTAATGAGATGGATGAAACTGGAGCCCATTATACAGAGTGAAGTAAGCCAGAAAGATAAAGACCAATACAGTATACTAATGCATCTATATGGAATTTTAAAAGATGGTAATGATAACCCTATATGCGAAACAGAAAAAGAGACACAGATGTACAGAACAGACTTTTGGACCCCGTGGGAGAAGGCAAGGGTGGGATGTTCTGAGAGAATAGCATTGAAACAAGTATACTGTCAAGGGTGAAACAGACCACCAGCCCAGGTTGGATGCATGAAACAAGTGCTCAGGGCTAGTGCACTGGGAAGACCCAGAGGGATGGGATGGGGAAGGAGGTGGGAGGGGGGATTGGGATGGGGAACACATGTAAATCCATGGCTGATTCATGTCAATGTATGGCAAAAACCACTACAATATTGTAAAGTAATTAGCCTCCAACTAATAAAAATAACTGAAAAAAACAAAAAAACACCTAGAAAAGGATGAGAAATGATGCTTAGCCATGTGAGATTCTAAACCAGTGAGTAAAGAATGGGTAAGAAGTCTAAAGATTTTGAAAGTTGTAAACGTAGTCTCAGTGAGACTTTACAGGTTGGGATTCATAATACACAGACTATAACAATGGAGGATAATTCTTTTCCTGAAAAAACGGCTTGCCGATGGGTAGATAATATCATGTAACCTGGCAAGAATATATGTCCACAGGACCCAGAAGACCGTGTGGAAGACAGTGGAGAACATGGGGAGAAGGATAAGCAGGTGGGGAACAGAGTCCTGTCAGTGTGGAGATGCTCAGATGGGGAAAGACCATGACAATGCTAGCTGAAAGACTGAAAATAAATATCTGATGACAGATGCAGGAACCCTTCAAATCAATGATTGGCCAAATAGATTATTTTTAGACACAAGAAGGGCTTCTCAGGTGGTGCTTGTGGTAAAGAAACTGCCTGCCAATGCAGGAGACATAAAAGATGTGAGTTCAATCCCTGAGTTGGGAAGGACTTCCCTGGAGGAAGGCATGGCAACCCACTCCAGTATTCTTTCCTGGAGAATCCCATGGACAGAGGAGCCTGGCACGGGGTACAGTCCATAGAGTCAGAAACGGTCAAACACGACTGAAGCAATTTAGTACATACACATGCAGACATAAGAAAATAATGGAATTAGTATGATATTTTACTCAAAATGAAAAGTAAAATAACTTTAAATGTACATGATGAGGAGAAAATTATGAAGTCATAGCACACACAGAAGGACCATGTGTTTTGGGTAATAGAGGCTCATTGGCACAAGAGATGACTGCAGCACCGGTATAATTTCTTTCTTGACCCATGTGCCTAGGCGGTCCATATCTGGGGTGAAGACTTCAGTTCTGTGAGGTAGTTCAAGTGAGCTGCTGAGGACTTGAAATGCATTTGTAGTGAAGGTTCTGGTAACCATGACATGTGAGGAATGTTTAGAAAACTCGTGATCTTCAGTTTGGCTGAGAGAAAAGTTAGGTAATTAATAGCTCTTTTCAAATATTTAAAACAGTTGGTGGGAAAGAATTTAAAAACTAAAATTAATTAAACACATCTGCTGAGGGCAAGGACCAGGGCTGCTAAAGACATTAGTGATACATAATTCCATTCATTGGTTTGAAATACCAGATGTGCATACAGAAAAATAGTTTTCAGATTCAATATAGGAAATATTTTCCCTTATTTATTCTCAAACAAGTGGGATCTGTCCAAGAATGCAATGAAGACTTCCTGAAGAAGTGGTTGGCTACCTGGCAGGTGTTTGTGTGGGGCTCCATGGGACTCTGTGCTGTTTTGATTCTATACCCAGCATGCTTTCTCCATCATAATGCAAAACACTTTGGCAAAAGCATTTTTTAAAGTTGTGGGTAAAGTATCTTGTTTATTTTTAAGAGTTACTAGAACAAAAGAATTCCTTTGCTTGAGATTGTTTCACATGGAGCAGGCATCTTATTTTTAGCTGGGGTACAATGGTTATTTCCAATGATTTCCAGCAGGGAAGAACATGCCAGATTCCTTATGATCATGACAGCAGAAATGGCCAAGCACACACATGGGCACTGTCACAGTGGGAGTCTCATGATTGGTTTTTTTTTTTTTTCATTTATTTTTATTAGTTGGAGGCTAATTACTTTACATCATTGCAGTAGTTTTTGTCATACATTGAAATGAATTAGCCATGGATTCAGAGAGCTGGATGTAAGATGATGAAGATGATTTTCTTTGTCTAACATCTGAGAGCTGAACCTGTGCTGTATTTGAGTTCTCTTGTCAGAATTCTAAGCTAGAACTTTTGAGGAAAGATAGAATAGGAAAACTTGGCAACCCCATGTGCAACCGTGATTAGAGCTAAAATTTAGGCAAAGTGCTCCCTGTGAGCGTCAGAGTACATTTTTATAAAGGGTTCACCCTCGCTTAATCAGTGCCACATCTCTGCTACAAGCAGGGTCTTGCCAGGCTGGGAATGGCCCAGGACATGT